CCCGCTCCTTCAGCACGGCAATGTTTCCTAACAAGAACGAGCGTGGTTCATTAACACAAAACTGTACTTTCAACAAGGTTAATATTCCAGTAATGTATAATTACAATCTAATAATTTAACACTCAGAAGCACCCCAAAACAACCGTAAAGGACTGCGGTTATTACAGCTTGCTCTTCGCCATCATTACAAAGCTGGTTCGCACTGGGGGAGTCAGCGCATTGGAAAGGCATTGCGTGCGACAGCGTTAAATTTCATTTTACAGCTCTACTAACCAACTGCGTAAAAACCGGAATCTGTCCCCACGGCTCGAGGAGGATTTTTCCCGTAAAATTAAAAAGAAACAAACAAACAAACAAAAGCCAACAATAGTAAGATTTTGCCATTGTAGCATTAATAGGGCCCTGCGGAAGTCTAATTTCAAAAATTCACAGTCTCTAAGGCATTCACCACCAGGTTTTTGTTTCTGTACCATTCTTTTTAATAACAGCATCTAATTAAAACATCTGTAAAGTGCTGACAGTTTTAATTTTATGCAAAATTTCAAAACCAAAAAAATAGGCTCTGTTCTAACGGGAGGAAAGACAGCAACAGTAGTTATTATTAAACAGTGGGGATATTTTAATTTAAGTCACTTCTAAATGTGCTTAATCTCTACCTTTAAATTAGACCAGAGACACAGTCGGGGAAATCACTACAGGCTGAGGCTAGTCTTTGAGGTTTATCTACTTACTTCCAGTGGGTTTTTCAGTTTAGCTTACTCAGCAGAAGAACGTGACACTTTCCAGGCAGGGCTTTTCATCAGTTACTTCCTGAAAACCAAAAACAATCACAACTCTGCCACGCTCCCTGTGTCGTGCAGGAAAGCAGCAGCTGCTGCAGCCCTTCTGTCTCGCGGTGATGCCTGTCACACCCTCCTGACGCTACTACAGGGAAGGGGTTTGCCTTGAGGGTGCGGGGGCCCGTGCCGACCCGCTGCCCTTCCACAGCTCGCGCAGAAGGAGCTCACGGCTAGGTTTCTGGTGCAATGCATGCACTGATCCTCTGACCTTAATTTTTGAAGCTAGAGTGAACAAGATTATGTGAAACGGACGTCTCTCCAAACTATTCCCATTCTCACAGGAGATGCTCGAGGATATGTTCCACTGCCTCTGGGAAATCCTCACAGGTTAAGTAAGGGCCCGGATTGATTTTGTCTTCATCTGCCGGACGGTATTTACCTGTAACAGGTTAACAAAAAGATATATTTACCAAGATCCTTTGGGTATCCTTTTATCCCCCCCTGAAAACTACAGCCTCCTCAGATCAGTAACAACCAGACGCGGAGGAGGAATGCCCATCTGAGGTTCTCCTGTAACAAACACCTCACAAGTCTTCCCTAAACAAACGCTGAGCCTGACTGAAGATTCCTCCAGGGGCAGCTCCTGCTCAAAGTTTGTGTTGTTTATCTACTGGCACTATTCTTCCACTGACTACACTGATAGTCGTGTTGTAGGTTCTTGAAATGATGTTGTTATCATCTTCCCTTCTGGCTTTTAGGAGCAGGAATAGGATTACTTGCTTTCAACATAATGGACTGAGTGGCACGGGCAGCTCCTGCCTCAGAAAGACTTTAACCAGCCCACGGTACCACCAGTAACACCGATAATAGATGTCAGTCCTTTAAGGTTCCACTTTTGTCTGAGGCAAAATTACTTTTATAATTACTAGTGTAATTACTAGGGAATGCCATCAGCATTGCTGAATGATTAGAGGTTACATTGATATGACTGATTTTGGCAATCAAAGACGTCACAGTAACATTTCTCTCTCTTCTTTGATGAGTGCTCAGGATTTTAGAGTCTTTAGAGCAAAAATTTCACACCTTCACCATCAGCCACCCCCATCCATGACTTCACATCATCCTGCTATCAGTCTGAGCTCCAGCCCTGTAAATACAGCCTACTGCCTGTCGCGACGTAACTACAAGCTATTGCTCGACAGGCTGCCACGCTGTAGATGAGGAAATGCATCTCCTGAACTCACCCCAAAATGAATGGGGTGATGGACTTGGAATCTCCTAGCAGCCCCTTGGCGTAACAAAGCACAGGAAGCGGGGGGCCTGCAAAGCACCTGGGCTCAGAGCGCACCTTCGCGTTGGGCACCAGGGCTGCCAGTACCTGGGGTGAGATCCCTGAATGCACCATCCTCTCCTGAAACGACCTCTCCACAGAGGACTTACCAGTCCTTACCAGAATCCCACGCATGCCTGCATCCTGGGCACCACCAACATCATCCCTGCAGTCCTGGAACAGAACAGGAGCTGGTTAGCAGTCACAGGCACTATTTGTTAAGGAGTTTTTCATGACATTCTCTGCTTTGCACATCACTAACCAGCCACTTAAAAGCAGCTGAGTCAAATCCTGATCCAACAGAAAAAACACTGCAGGAGTAGTTTTACTATGTGCTTTTTTGCCTGGTCCAATAGCATGATGGAATCCTGCAGGAATGGGCGATTTAAGAATGGACATCAGAGATGTGGCAAGGCACTTCTTGTTAAGAGATGGCCCGTGACCTTCGGTCGGGTGGTTAGGATTTCTCTAGAACCTACCCAATTAGGAGAACTAACCCCATGGACTGCACATTAAATCCTTGGAGGTTCAATTTTCACCCCTTGTATAATCACAGCGCTTTTAGAAAGATTGGCTCACGGCATCTGGGAGGCTGCACACAGCAGAGACAAGCACGGCAGTTTAACAGGCAGGTGATGAGGTATTTGGTACCCACGTACATCACCAATCATGACGGCCTCCTCCGGAGCACAGTCAGTCCCTCGCAAAGCTTCTAGGAAGAAGGTTTTCTCTGGCTTCCCCACCACTGTCGCTTTGGTGTCCGTTGCATATTCCAGCCCAGCTACAAAAGGTCCAGGTCCCAGAGCCAAGCCATCTTTTTTCTTGAAATACCTGGCTTTATGTATAGCTATAAGAGGAGCACCATCCAAAATCAGCCTGAAGAATGAACGAAGAAGAAAGCACAAAAATTGTGTTAAAGAAAGGACATGTGCAGCTGACAGGTTTCGTTTAGGTTGATGACAAACCTCCCACTGACTTTCATGACAACGCAAATTATAATTCCAGGCAGAATTCATTTGTAGAGTTAAATAAAGTTCTTTCCTTTGTTTTCCCCAGAAGCAGCTGATAAAACAAAACCCCCAAGTAAAGAATTTATTCTCTTGAGGATTTTAACAGGTAACTACTTTTAAATCCTGCCTGTATCTCCAATACAATTAGGTCAGTTACCCTAAGCAGCCTCACTTTTGACTAAGGCAAACATCCTTAACATTGGAACCCTTTGGATTTCCCCATGCATTTTAAAATACATTAACCACAGGTAAGGTCTGGAGGCCGCCATTTGTTGGCCACAGCCTTAGTCTCCTTGCCTGGACTGAGAACACAGCGATGCTTTCAGGACGCTGCTCCCAGGAAACCTGCAGCCCAGCAGCTCTTGAGGCTGTTGGTGTCACCTGAAAGAACCACACAGCTACGTGTCTCCAGCAGAGATGGGTGTTGAGATGGGTCCCAGGTACAGGGTAAATGATTTTACCTGTATATTTTAATGCTGGAGGAATTACAATGACAAGTTACATCAAAAAAAGCCCACAATGATATTGGGCACGTTCCATGTCCCACTGAATTTCCCAGTTAGCAGTGCAATTACTGAGCCTTTTAGGAAAAATGCTGGATTTGGGCTCCTTTCTATTGGGAAACAAAACATTCTAAGCGGAAGACAGTTCAAAGCAACAAGTCACCAGATTCCCAATACTTCTGAGCACAATAAAAGGGTCACAGAATAAGGGTCATAATGGCAGCGTTACAGGAGGGTCTTGGCTGGGCACAGCACCTGGGAGGCTCAGGAAGCGAGTGCAGCAGTGTTCAGATAGACTGGTAACTGCTCCCTGCCAAAAGCTGGGGTCTCCTCTCCTTCCATAGGCCCACTTCTGCCCCGACACACCAGCGCCCAGCCTCCTCAGGGCACCACAGACAGCATCTCTGCCTGCCAGCTGACCCGCCCCTGAAAAACCTGCACAGAACACGGCACTGCCTGGAGCGGGCAGAAAAATGCAAGGGGAGGAGTAATTAAGAAATGCTGCTGCTGCTGCACCTGTCTCAGTCAGCGCCACCTTAGCCGCGCTACCCGGTCAGCACCGTCAATTCACGCCACGTCGGCTTGAGGGCTCGCCTCGGGCCTGCGGCAGAGAGCACACACAGCCCCTGAACCGCAGACTCGTGACAGCAGAGTAACAAAAGGAGGGTTTGTGAGGGCTAGCATTCGCACAACCTGAACCTAATGGTTGATTCTTCCGTTTCTGTTACCCACCTGGCAGCTTTTCCGTACAGCAGACACAGCGGCTGCTCGTCCT